TGTGCAAGACATAATTTAGAATCTAATTACATTTGTCAAATTATAGGCGTTATAAATTTTAAAATAAAAAAATTTCACCGCAATGCGTTTTTATATCAACATGACACGTAAACAAAATTATAACTCACGAGATCGCGACATGTATATAATATTAATTAGATGAAGAATGTGTTAAACTTTAAAATTAATTAAGAAAATAAAAAATAAAAAAAGAAAGTAATTGTCAAATTACTAATCAAATAATAAAAAGTAAAATTTCTAATATTATCAATAATAATTAAGAAACAAAAATTTAAGATGAAATATAGATATGACATAAGCCATAAAGTAAACAAATAATACATATCGAATAAAAATCTCAACTAAATTAAAAAAAACGAATGATAAAAAGAAGAAGATATATACATTTGAAAAAACAAAAGTTAGAAATGTTATAAAAACCTCAATTTAAAAGTTTAAAAATATACACAACCATGCAAAAATACAATAAAAATAAAATCTATAAGAATACATCTTTTATCAATATAGAGTTACATAATATCACAAAAAATGGAAATTTTCGATCTATGACCTCATTGGTACTCTTCAAGTGTATATATTGAAAATTATATAAGTTAAAAAATAATAATATTATATTTCGTATTAAGTTAATACTGTATAAAGTTTGGCGAGTATAAATCTCTATCATAAATAAAACGATGACATTAATAAAATACAATTATCAATCATGTACTTATGTAATGGTTCGCAACATTATTTATAGTTTTTATGAGGTTACTAACATAAAATTTACTCTTTTCTGATTTAACTATAGTATTTTAGTTGTTTTTATTTTCTATCACATAACCATAAATATTCATAATGGGTTAAAATATAGATTTTCTCTCTTATTAAGAATATGATTTAAATTCTGATAATATATATTTTTGGATTTGCATGATATGTATTAAAATTTGAGAATTATGATATAAATTGACTTCTACTGGTTTTAAAATCCACGTTAAATAATATTTTTAAATTTAACGGGTTACTAATTAAAATTTAAATATTTATTTCATTAACTTTTAAAGTATTTATCCGCGTATTAACGTGGATCCTATTCTAGTATACCAATACGATAAGAAGTCAACTTCTTAGGTCGCTAATATATTTCTAACTCGTGTTTGTTATTGAGCTAAGACTATTACTCTGGGAATAAAAAATAAGCTGATGACAAAGGAAAAAGAAGCTAATAACAAAACATGTAAAAGGCACAATTTTGATATTGTTATTATTTCAAAATTGCAAAGTATTTTATGCCGGAAGTTTTGTGGAGTAGTGGCTTGGCAGTTGGCACATTCAAACCCAAACTTGTATAGATAAATATTGACAAAACAAGACATAGGGTCAAGATATATATGTGGGTGTAAGAGTAAGAAAATATCAGAAGTCAGGAGAATGAGTGAAAATGAGAGGAAAATAAGATCTATGTCTCTGTCTTCTTGACTGCTTTAATGCATGATACCAAAAACTCACCATGCTTCGTCTTGGACCAGGTATCCTTTTTGTCAGTTTTTATATTTATTCTTGATGATGTTATGTCCGAAAATGAGACTGCAACATATATCTATGGAAAACGATTAACAAGCTCAAGAAAGCGAAGCGA